GCCTAGATAGGTGGTTGGGAGGTCCTCCACTTTACACTCCCAATTCGGAATCAGTGAGCATTTGTCATTGCTACACCCAGCATTTTTTATTTGTCCATATTGACTTTGAACCTAGTTGCTGTTTGGAAGCAACTCAGGAAAAGTTTGAGGGTGTCCACTTCATTGGAGGAGGCATCTAAGAACACCAACGTGTCATCTGCGTATTGTAAATGAGACACCGTTGGGCCATGTCTACTGCTCCTGAATCCAAACAGAAGACCTGCCTGATATAGCCAGCGGCTAAAGACTTTCGCCACTATAGCAAACAGGAAGGGGGAGAGGGGGGGTCACCTTGGCGAAGGCCCCTCAAGGACGGGAGGAATCCTTTTGGGGCTCCGTTAATAAGAATAGAAAAAAGTGGATGAGAGTAACAGCCTCTCATCCACTTCTTCCATCTAGCCCCGAAACCCATTCTAGCCATCGACTCTTCCAGGATTAATCAGTCAACATGGTCATAGGCTTTCTCCCAGTCAATTTTGAAGATAAGCCCTGATTTTTTCTCTCAGTGCCTCCCAGTCAAGATGGTCATAGGAGTACCACCAGGTTTGGACAAGAGTTTATAGAGACTCCTCTTCAAGCCAGTGGAGTTCAAATCTGAAGGGTTTGGGACCCCTCTTGACTGCATTAGAATCAAGCAAAAGGACGGTGGTCCAACGTAGGCTTGGGAAGGGCTAATGAAGAAGAACCTGGAAAGTGCTCCTAGTTCAAAGAGAGGAGGAATCTGTCTAACTTTGAGCAGGTGGGTCGCGAAGCATGGTTGGACCAAGTATACCTACAACCTTGAAGGGGGATATCAAGGAGATCATTTCGCCTGATAAATCCCTTGATGTCCAGGGAGAATGGAGTAGAGGAGTTTTTCTCGTAAGACCAACAGATGACGTTAAAGTCACCTCCCAGACACCAAATGGGGTGTGGTAGGGATGCAACGTGATCCAGTTCTGTCCACAGCCTATTCCTGAGGGAGGAGGTGTTTGGACCATAAACAACCGAAAATTTCCATGGGGTCCCATCTTAGTTGCTAGAGAGGAGTAAAGTAACAGAGAATTCGCCTATAAAGGAGGAGTTTAGGGTATGGTCTAAGGGTCCCATAACACCCAAATGCCTCCTAATGCCCCATTTGCAGGTAAGGAGACCCATTGACAAGGTCTTCTACCCCAAACCTGGCGAATGAGATGAAGGTTAGGATCTGGAAGTTTGGTTTCAAGTAGGGCTAGAATCACGAGAAAGTTTGGAGGTAAGGTCCTTGACAACATCCTTTTTGGAGGACTGTCCTAGTCCTCTAACATTCCAAACAAGTAGCTTCATCTTTTGGAGATGAGAGAGGAGGAGGAGGCTAGTCTGGGAGACCTCCTTGGGCAGTCCGTGGGGAGAGGAGAAGGGCGACTCTCAACTAGATTCCCAACAAAGTTTAAGGATGAGAAGAGGTTGCAAAGCTCTCTCTGACCTCTGAATCTCACTTGCATCCTGCTTAGCGCGTCCGTTGTAATGAATCTGTGAGCCGATCCTTCAAGTCCATCATATTCGAATCCCATCAATCTGTACATCTCTCGCATTTTATCTTCTATCCTGTTAGTCCCATCCCTGTCGACCTCCTTTGTGTCGTCGCCAGCTTGGGAGGGAGAGATGGGTTCCGAAACAATCTCCGGGGGCACGGCCATGGGTTGAGCCAAGGTTGGGGTCTTGTGAGGCTCTGTTTCAAAATCTGCCAACTGGGGGGTGGGACTGGAGAGGTATAGGTCAGGGGGAAGGAAAGGGAGGGGTGAGGCAGCATCAGGAGGGTGTCCGGTACAAGGGGGAAGATGCCGGGGGCAGAAAGTTAGGTTGTTGGGGGTGAGGGTCAGAGGTTGGGGTTGGGTCATAGGGTAACTAGGTAAGGAAGGTTTCAAAGGGGAGGAACGGAGCTTGAGGGGGGTAGGCAAAAGAGAGGGAGGGGAGGAAAGTGAGAAAGTGGTGTGTCTTAATCGAGGAGTAGGTGGCCCCCCTCTTTTTTGGATATATGTTGGGTTTTGATAGACAACTTTTAGTCGTGCTTTTTGTTTTGGATAAAATCATAGATGGACTTTATGATTGTTTTTGTGGATATGACAAGACTTGGTAAAATTAAAGGTGAATGCCGTAAAATGATTTTCAAAGACTAAGTAAAAATTGAACTAGACCTTTTGTGTTGAAAAACCTAGGTTTATGAATATGGTTTTGAGAAAACCCCATAGTCTTGCAAGGTACACCCAGTCTTTGTGAAAATCATACTAAATCTTCGCTCTATTTTCTAACTATTGCTTACAAAAATTTACCAAGTCAAAAGTTTTGATAAAAAGGAAAAACATTTGAGTCTTGAAATTATTTTATAAACATGGGAAAAAGTGTCATTTATCTTTGCACCTATTTTAAATACCCATATGTCTTGACTCAGGTTTTTATAGTACCGATTACGTGACTTGACAGTCAGTTCATTAGAATCCTCGATTACCTAAGACCATGAACCATAGGGAATGCCTTAGGATGCCAAGAGACTAGTGTGGTTTGTGATAAGATCACTTGGTTTGTAAGGATTTACAACCAAGAGACTAGTGTGGTTGTAACCTTTGTGGTTCGATAAAAAAAAAGGATTGCATATTGAGAGACTTCAGGCATTGAGTTATTTTGGCATGAGACTTGCTGAACTTCCTCATAGCATAAGCATGAGCATGATGAGACATTACGTGTTACATGTATTTTTTATTTGAGCGGGAGTTACTACAGTCCCACGGCTGTTTTAGTTGCTCAGATATATAAGTATTCTTTTGTAAATTGCCGAAGGGATCTAGATAACTTAGCATTCTAGTGGGAGTATCTGCTTATGATTGGTGGACCAGCTAGAACAACATATTGTCATGTTGTCCACCTTGAAACCCGGATATGTGGCACTGGTTGTCTGGCTAAAAATTTGAGCAGCATAATTGAAGAACTTCCTTGAGCTGCTGATATAGGACCCCTTGCGATGAGAGTGTTCGTGCATATCTTCTGTCACAAGGAGTCCATGATTCGTGATGCAAAAACTGAGGACGTAAAGATGGACTACGGCCACGTTCAGGACAAGATCCGAGCAGCAGAGAGAGCCTTCATGACTCCCATAGAGGCTACATCCATCAATCTTTAGTGAAAAGATTGATGGCGAAGGAGTTTGAAGTTGGCAATACTGATGCCAAGACTCAAACTAAGCTTTACGAGCTAGGCCGAATTGAGTTTTGAAATCCTACGAGACCTGAGCATAAAGCACAACTGAGAATGGTTTGCAGGTTAGCCCTTGATGAGGTCGGAGAGATGCCCAACGTAGTTAGCCAAGGGGCTATGTGAACTTTGTGTGCAATTTGAAAGGCACGAAGGGACAAGAGCCAAATCCTCATCATGACCATCGCACATATACATATGAATATATGATAGCCGTATTGGGAAGCAGATACCATTGAAGGTGTGACATGTACATGTGCAAAAGATAGCCCCCATACAGCAATTGCGATAAGTGTGTACAGGTCTGTGTGACCTAGGCTTCTGCCTGAGGGAACTTGCAGTCCATAAACTAGGATTGTATTCTCATCACCTATTGGCTGACTTTGGTTGTCCAATCATAAATCCTTGTGATGGACTATGGGTTATGGGAACTACTGATCAGTTTGAGAAAGTGAGTGTGGGACATAGTCACCAGTAGAGATGGAGTGCCTCAGTAATTTCGCATTTTCCTCAACGAAGTTAGATCTGTTCCCATCAAATTAATTTTAAAATAATTAATTTTGTTTTAAATAATTTTTAGAATGTTAAAATAATTTTTAGAAGTCTATGGACATTTTATTTTATCAAAATTGATTTTTGAATTAGCTAAAACTAAATTTTCAGGTATTTAAATATCCAAAGAGAAAAATAAAATATTTATAGTTTTCTACAAATCAATTTATTAGTTTTAAAATTTAATTTAGAATG